AAAAGAGGTTAGAAAAGAGGTTATATCTAACCTTCTACCTAAAATATATTTTTGCTGAAAAAATGACCAAATTTCATGAAATTTCTCTAGACCGACTTTTACAGGGTAGCCAAAACTCTATGAAAACAGTGAAAAATAACAGAGTATTTTGACAACTTCAAACAAGCAGAGTAAATGAACCATTTATTTTTATTGACTTTTTACAATTTGAACTTTGTTCGCGTAGATGTGAATTCTGAAAGAAGTATGAGGGTCTTGTATGACTTTGTACTTCTCCCATAGTTCATGTCTGTCAAACTTACCTGCCATGGACTCTTTCATAAGTTCCATGAAATCGTCTTCGGACAATCCAGGGAAAAGTACAATGTCAGTAAGTATTCTCTTTACATCCTTACTTAAACTCTTGGCTGTCTGTACACAAATGACAACTGAAATGTTAAAGTGTCTGAGCTTCTTAAGAATTCGACACATGTCTTGTTCTCTGTTCTTTAACAAAGGATGAGAAGCAAAGTCATCTAAGATAAGAAGACATCTATGAGGGTAAGTCTTCCAATCGTACGATTGCAATTTCTTCGAAATGTATTCTATCTCTTTCTGTTTGTTTCTGAAGTGTTTCTTCTCTAATATTCTCTGCATTTCCTCATTTGGGTCTTTAAACTTCGAATTTATATACTCATTTATAGCATTGTACTTCAAAACTCTTCTTTGGTACTTCTTTATCCAATCTAACAACTCAGAGTCTTTTATACATACTAACTTAGACTTTTTTATAATATCTTTGAACGAATTGACGGTTTGGTCAAATTGACCAGAAGTACTACAAATGACTACTAACTCATAGAATGGGTTCTTCTCATCTAGTTCTTGTTGTTGTGCAGCCATTTTAAGATAAGTGAAAGTCTTACCCGACCCAGGTGGTGCAATTAGACCTGTTATACCATTCTGAGCAAATAGAACTTGTCATGTATGGGTTTTATCTGAGCATTTTCTAACTTCCTCTTGTTCTTTTTTAAAACATTCTCAAATTTCTTGTCAATGTCAGCAAACTTTTTTTCTAACATATTTTTAGAAAAATTAAAATTTTTATCTTTTAGAAAATGTCTAGCGATTTCGCTATCTATATTCGAGACAAGCTTTTCGACAGCAAAACATCTGTCGACCATAAAATCTTACATAGTGTAAACAAGAAAGGTGAATTTGTTCTAAAGTTCTGTTTCTGGGAATATGACAAGAACCATAAAACATTACAAAGAGCAGTCTTAAAATTTGTCAATGACAGACTTGTTGACAGAGATGACGCCGATTGGAAAGATGAAGTCCAACAAAAGTTCTTAGAATGCAAAGAAGACACATGCGCTGTTCTTGAAGATGAAATAGAAAACAGAATAGATGAGCTATTAAAGGACAAAGAACTTTTACATAATATGGTTCGAAATTTGACATAACTCCACCAGAAAAGAAGAAGAGAAGAAAAGAAAGAAAAGAAAGTAGAAGAAGAGAAGAAAGAACCTGAACCAGTTCCAGAGAAAGAAATTTGACATGTAAAAATAAAATTTTATTTTTAGAACATTTCTGGGTCAATGTCAATGTTCTCTTCCTCTTTAGGAGCAAACACTGGCTTAGACTCTAAAATCTTTTTACCCAATTTACCTTGAACTTCAACTATCTTAGACTCATAATATTCATAGTCGTCTGCTTTCTTTGGTTCATAAGGTATAACAAGTTTGTATGCTTTGCCTTCTTTAAGGTTTGAGAACCTTCTGTCAAAATTTTCTTTGACTGCTAACAAACCTTCTATGTCTAAGTCTTCAAATTTCGCACCATTTTTAGTCACAATAGCAAACTTAACTGGTTCGATGTTCCAAACTTTGTCAAATGTAGACTTTTCAAAATGGTAGAAGTAAACATTCAAATATGTGAATGGGTCTAGTTCTTCTTTACTTCTGACATGTACTTATTTACTGAAATAATTTTCATCTTTTCTATCGGATAAAAAAATATTTTTTTTAAAATTTACTCAGAAAAATTTTTTTTGTATATACGCCGTTCTGAACATCTAAAAGACTTTTGACATTTGCCAAGAATGTACGTTTAGAAGCTGCCATATAACCATATTCTTGACAATATTGTTTATATTCAATCGTACAATGACCTTTCATCTAAACACTCAAAGTCAGTTTCATCTATAAACAGTTCATATACACTCTTGTTTGCTTCTAACAATGTTTGTCTCTCTTCGGTATGTGGAATTTGTCTTGGATTGAACTTAGAAATATCTAATGTCATGAAATATGAGAACAAGTGGTTGTAAAAGTCAGATGTCAAAGTTTCTGCTAAGTCGTCAAAATATTCTGTATCTTGCATATGAGAATCTGACGTTCTGACAACTACATATCTTCTGTCAGAACTTTCTAACTTCATCGGAACAATTGTTTGAAACCATAATGAAGTTTGCAACATTTTCACAAACTCTTTGGTCTTTATATTTCTTTCAACAACTCCAACTTTGTCTGTTATAAGACTCTTCAAAGCATCTGAGTTTAAAACTTTTGTTGTATCTATACTTTGAAGTTCGTTACATACTATAAGTTTCATATTCTCAATTGAAGAGTTAAATTTACCGCAGATGTTTTCTAAGTTTGTCATATTCGGATTCGAATAACCTCTAACAGTTTGCATAAGATATCTGTAAAGAAAGTGTTCTTACCTGTTCCTTGTTTTCCAATTATAATGAGAGCAGTTTCATTTTTAGCACTTGGATATTGTAAGATATTTGCAAACCAACATAAGATATACTCATAGACTCTTTCGTTTCCATTGCATATAATTTCTTTGACATGGTCTAACCAAGCTTCTATAATATTTTCTTTCCATTCTACTTGTTCATATTTATATCCAGTGAAGATAGAATAGAAGTTTGGAGATGGTGTATAGAACTTTATACCACGAACTGAAAAATCTTCTAACTTTGACAATAAGATATCCCAAGCATCTAACATCTTCATTCTAACTTGTACGACTTTTATTTTCTTAAGTTTCTGTCTACATTCTTGTTCTGAAACTATGGTTGCTCTTGGTTTGTTAAAGACAACATCCCATTCTTTCATAACATAACATTCTGGGGCAGAGTCAACATAAATGACTAAACGTTTCAAATTCTCGACTGCTTTGTTATAGTCTCTAAATGGACACATATTTCTGAACGCTTGGAAGTCATAAAAATCTGAAACGTCTATTCTGTACATTTTTATAAAAATAAAAAAAAAAAAAATATTTTTTTTATTCTTGACTTTGTTGTTGCATTTGTTCCATTTGTTGCATTTGTTGTTCTTGAGCTATTTGTTGTTGAAGTTGTTCTTGTAGTACAATACTTTCACCAGTTGCATCTTCCAATTCGAAACTTTCTGCCGTCATTGACAAATACATAGGACATAAAAGTTTTACAGGAACAAAGTTTGCGTCAACTAAGGTTAAGTTTATGTTTGCCAAAGTGTTTGAGTTCACTAAAGCTGAAAATTCTGCATTCGAATGAACAATAGCAAACCAGCAGAGAAAGTGTTGTTTATACGCATGAGTATCTTTTGGTCATAGTAGTTTCTGTCGACATTCGAATAGCACTTTGAACCTAAGTTTGAAACAATATATAAAATAGGTGTACTTAAAGTCAATGGAACAGACAAACCTTGTATGACACCTTTTCCTGTTATAGGAAACTGTTGGTAGTAAAAACCAGATATAAGTTTTGTATTATAGCTCATATCGTTTATACTAAACTCAGTCGGACATCCAAACATAATGAAACCTGCTCTAGTTGCAGCACATGTACATCCGTCCTTAAAGTATTAAATAAGTCAACAAAACCTGTTGGTGGTATATCTGAGTAAGTATCTTCAAAGAAGTATTTTTTACCATTCACAACAACAAAGTCTTCTGGTGTCAAAAGAGCAAAACAGGCTTTAGTCGTCATCGTGTTTAAGGTCAGTTTACAATATCGTCCTTGAGGACTTTGTAAGTTTGTTGTTATAGAATTATATGACTCAGGGTTTTAGTCGTAATAGTATAAACCACTATGTCTTCTGCCATTTACTTAGCAAGTAAATTTTAATGAAATGTTGTGGTCGTCAAATATTTTTATGACGTCTGGGAAACTATATTTTAAGTTCAACGTTTCACCTCCTTTCATAACGTATATCTTGTCAATGACATTATATGAAACACCACAGCAAGCAATGTCGGGCTCTATTTCTTTGATGTTTATATCGTCTGCCTCTGTCAAAAGTTTCAATAGTTCTTTCAAAACTTCATGAGGTGCGATGACATATGAGTTCACTTTTACAGGGTTGTGCTTCAACCAAGTTTAACATTATACCTAAAGCTTGACAAATCTTCTCCTGAGTTTTAAGTTTATCTTTCAGTTGTTGTAGTCATTTCGAATATCTGCAACAGAACTTAAGTCTCTGCTAACTTCAGGATATGTTGGTTGTTCTTTTACAGGAACTATTGTTATACCATCTTCGTCTTCGTATGGTTTCCCCACTTCAACATCTCTTTCTTTGACATTGACAACAACACTTTGACTGTTTGTTTGAGTTGGTGAATTTAACTTCACATCTGCCACCGCCATTAAACCTTTTGAAACACTTACGCTTCTATTTTTCGGAAATGACATTTTACTTAGAATAAAAAGATGGACGTATTTGAGTATCTCTTCGAATTGAAGCAAAACAAAGTTTACACACACAAACAATACAAGTTCATTGACAGAATAGTTCTTTATACAAACAATGGAAAATGTTATAGAATAGCAGTCTTTGCTGAACCAAAATATTTTCATAAAGCAAAGAAAGTTGGTATAACCGAGATGGTGAAAGTTCTTGAAGCAGACAAAAATATAACAACAAAACTGACCGATATTTCTAAAGGAAAGTTTATAATACAATTTTATGTCAAAACTGGCGTACTGTCAATATTTGACGGAGAGAAGTCAGTTCAAGAACAACTTACTGACCTGCTGCCAAAATCTGCTCGATGGAAGCTGTCGTTATGCCAATCTGAGGAGCCCCAGCAGGTTTCATCGAACGAATCTTCAAAAGAGCATCTTCCGTGAAAAGTGCTATTGGTTTTGTAAACTTCTTTGCTTTCAATTCATCTGGACCGTCTCTGTCACCAGTATATTGTATTTGAACTGTACCAACAGTTGAAATACCACCCATAAAGTCTTCTGAGTCAGCAAATGGAATGCCAAGCCAAAAGTTTGAACGGTCTCCATTTGTATATTGAGTTTTTTGACCTCCTGTATGAGTCCATACTTTCACATATGGCATAATAGAACTTTGCATTTCAGGGTTAATGGTTGTTGTGAAGTTGTTGTTAAAGTTCATAGCATCTAATGTCAAGTTGTATGACCTCATATCCTCAACTGTAGAATATTCTTCTCTTGGATAATATTTGCCATCTATGTTTATATGGTATTTAATACCAGGGTTGTAGAAGCAAGAATAGTCATTTATAGTTCGTCTGAACAGTACAAACATAGTATCTGCATGTTTCATTGCAGTTGTTAAGGCAATATCTGTTCTTGCACCTGCGGTTCCTGGATTTTGGTTTCCAACTTCACCTGCAAAGTCTTTGACAGATATTTGGTGTATAGGGAACATAAGTGGAACTGCAATATATTTGGCAGCTAAAGCATTTGAAATATCTGGGTCCAACATATAGACTGCAAGTCTGCTTTCTATTCTCTTGCATTCAAACTTTTCGCATGTGAACTTAACTGGGTCCCAAGCATCTCCAGCAGCATTGAAATAATAGTTTACTTCAGTGTTGAGGTTTGAGAAACCAAAGTCTAAGTCAACTTTGTCTTTGCAAAATTCGGCGAATGACGTTTGATTTGCTCCCTTTACGTCTGTAAGAGTGAATGGGTCTTGTGTTGGTGCAATGACTAAGTTATTTTTGCTTGGAGTAAGTTCAATAGAAATTTTTCCTGCCCAGTTTGGCAAGTATCTTAAAAACCTGAAGATGAGGAAAGATGACAAAGGAACTCTAAGTTTCAGTTTTACTTTGTTACTGCTGCTGCAGTTTGTCCAGAAAGGTTAACATAAACTCCTGGAACGTTAGGGTCAAGTCTTCTTATTTTCTCAATGGTTGCATACTGGTCTGTTTGTTCTCTAGCTTGTGGTTGTACTGAGTTTCTCAAAGCGAACCATTCATAGTTTGCCCATGTTACTGTTTGAACTAAGTCAGAGTTAGAATATATCTTATATCCCATGAAAACTTCTGGAGCATATTGGTATCCGACATAGAAAATTCCATTGCAACCTTTCTTGTCAGACAACTTGGCAGAAGGTTTATTTCAATGTCTTGTTCCACGTATAAGAATGAGTTGTCAATAGAAAATAATATGAAACCTGTCGCAAGCAATATCTACTGTTGTTGAAGAACCTTCTCCAAACTCACCTACGTTTCCATAAGAAACAGCAGTTGTATATTCGTAAGTTCCAGGAACTATTTCTGACCTTCTAATGGCATTGTCGCATTCGTTATACCATTCGGAAACATTTCCATTCATAGCATCCAAAACTGTTGGCGTTATATTCTGAGCGGCGTACATTTCATATGAGTAAAAATATAGAATAGTTGGATTTATATGTCATAATAGAACCCACTCCGACCAAGCTTTACTTTCTTCCTGACTGAGTTTTTAACTCTTCTTTTTCCTTCATTGCCCTCTGCTTGAAGTTGTTGCATCTTTGCATTATGTTCATCTAGTATGTTGCAAATTTCCCATGTCCTTTTTGCCTTTTGGCTCTGGTCGCCCATCTCAGGTAACCTATATCCTAGAAAGAGTTTGTCATAGTCTGTATTTGAGTCTTCGCGTATTGTTTGCATGACTCTTTCCTGAGTTTCCGGTTCAAGCTCTTCAAACAGTGCCTGTCCATATGGAATATGCTCGTTTCCAAATATATGTTTTTGTAGCCATTCTGGTTTTCTTTCCATGTTACCAACTATATCTTTTGTGAATGGGAAGGCTTCTACCCAATCTTTCAGTCTTGCGTCGTTTATTTCTGTAGTTGGTTTTATTTTGTCAAGGAACATGTTTTTCAATACTAACATTTCATTTGGTACTGTCCATTTGAGTTTTCTTAAATATTCATCCCTTCTCGGTTCATTGTCTGCAAAGTAAGTTTTTATGACATTTTGTAAACTTTCGTTTGCAAGGTCATGTACAATAGGTTCTCTTCCTTCTATCTCCCTAACTTTCTTTCTAAACTCTTCACCAAATATACCATCTCTATGGTTCTGTGTAGTTCTTTGAGATAAATGTTCTAGAACGTCAGGTGTTATATTTCCATCAGCCATGTTCATTTCATACTGGTCCAAAATATCTGCATCTTTCATATCTTTCAATGGCATTAAAGCCGCGCTGAAAATACCAGCTATATCTGGTTCACCATTGACTTCCATTGCGTCTACAACTTCTTGGAATTGAGGTTGTAAGTTTATGAACCACCTATCCGGGTTAGCTTTATGACCCCATCTCATTGTAGTTCCATCGTCTGCAGAAACAAAAGTAGGTTTGTTTCCATCTTGGTTAGGTTCTGAATGAACTTTAAACAATGTTTCATTTCTATATGTTTTCTTGAAATTTAACCTTTTATCTTCACCGAGTTCATCCGAAGATTGAACGTTAAATGCTCGTAAGTAAAAAGGGTTGTTGTATTTGTGTACATTTTTTTTCAGTTCTTCCATTCTATGCTGGATATTTTCATCTGATGTTGGAGTCTTTTGTATGTCGGCAAACATTTTTCGATATTCTTCTACTATGTCAGCCGAATTTTTTTTAGACTCTTGGAAATATTCCATATTCTCCGCATACTCTTGTTGAGGGTCAAGATTTTTCGGCTGTTCCAAATCTTCATCTAGTTCTGTGAAGTTAGTTTCCAAAGGAAGGACTTGTTCGTTTCCTTCAGGCTCTTCTAGCTTTTGTTGCTGAACTATTTCTTCCATGTCTGGTTGTATCTGAACTAGTTCTTCCTGTGGAGTTTCTTGTACCTCATCTGCTGGCATTTCATATATTCCGAGACCGTTTTCAACAAGTTCCCTTTCTAAGTCATCCGGACTCATAAACCTTTCTTCTTTCGTTCCGTCTCTATTTTTTACGCGTTTCATGAAGAGAGTTAAATTGTCATTTAGCTCTGACATCAAATATCTCGGAGTAAATTCGTTCATGTCATTTGGATGATATGCTATTAAATCATATCCCTTAGCGAGCTTGTATTTTCCAGGTTTGAAATTATATCCCCTTTGGTGCAGAGCCATAAAGCTAAATAGGTTCGGGTCAGTATTTCCATCCTTGAACTTTCTAATAGCTTCTTTATATCTGTCACTAAAGTCAATACTATCTGGGTAACCATAGTCTTCTTTAAGCATTTTTAAGAATTCTTGGTTTCCTTGTTCTCTACTTCTTTTATGTCCTTGCTCTGTTTGTGGTTGTTGTTGTGCTGGTTGTGGTGCAGTGTTTTGAACTGTTGGTTGTTGTGTTGGTTGTTGTGCTGGTTGTGGAGGTGGTTGTTGTGCTGGTTGTTGTGCATGCCTGTGTCTGTGTCCATGTGACGATGTAAATGTTCTAGGTAGTCCTGGTGCAGGTGCTTCTCTTGGAGGGTTTGGTGGTATATAAGTTCCACCAGCTGGCACATATGTTCCATCTGCAGCGTAATGTCCTACCTGACTTTTCGTTTTTAAGAAAGCATTTACTAGGTCTGTTTTGGTCTGTTGTAACTCTTTTTCTTGACTTTTCACAACAGTTGCTCTAACGGCGTCATAGGCACTTTGAACTGCCTGTCTCGTTGCTGCATCTGTTATTTTCGTCATATTTTGTGCTACTTCTTTTAACTCTTTGTCGAAACCTTCAGACTTCAGTTTCTTTCCAGATGAGAAGTCGTTCACTTGTTTCACCTTACTATGAAGAGCTTCGAAAGCGTTCTTAAAGTCAGCATTTGTTAAAGCTTCATTTGAACTATCTTCATCCGCTTGTATTTTTGTCCTTATTGACCCTATGAGTTGGGCTGCTTTAGCGTTGGCTTGGGCATCTAACCAGTCATTGTTAGCTTTTATTATTTCTGCACTTTTCATTGCCTTTTGCATGGCTGCGTCGTTATTTTTACTTTCTTGTGCTAAGTTTTCATACTGTACGGTTTGGTTTTGCAACTGTAAAAGTTTTTCTGCCTTTACATTTGCTTCAACTTCTTTTTTATACTCATCGCTATCCATATATGTCTTCAGGGCTTTTTGTTTTATCTCTTCATCTTTCAGTATTTTATATTGAGTAGTATGGTTTTTCAAATTTATGACATCTTGTTCCATTTTTGCTACTTCTGCTGCTTTTTCTGACACTTTTTTCGCATATTCCTCTGTACTTAGTTCTTTCAGTTGTTCTTCTTTCTTCTTTTTCTCTACGTTTAACTCATTGAGTTTCTTTGTGTGTCTGTCATATTCTAGTTTCTTTTCGTTTTCACTTATTTGTTTCTGTATGTCTATGTTTGACTTTTTGACATCTGTTATTTGATTTTTGAGTGAACTCAAATTCATTTGACTTTGAGGGTTATAGGCTGTTCCGTCTGCAGCTCCACCATAGCCTGCCATTTTCGCTAAAAGTGCCGCTCTTAAACCTCCACTCTGTGCACCAACAACTCGGTTTAAAAGCATAGGATTGCTTGACATTTGTTGCAACATAGTGGGGTCATTCATAATTTGTTGTTGCAACTGTTGTTGTGGTGTCAGTTTTACTATTGGATGTTTCAATGCTCTCTTCCTCTTACGTATATTCTTACGTAGCTTACGTGGCATTTTAAGTGAAGTTAAAAAGCGGTTTTTGACAGATGTTTTATTGTGACTTCTTCGTAAAGACTTTGTTGTGACTTCTTCGTAAATGAGTGTAAATGACCCAAAAATATATTTTAGGGTAGAAGGTTAGATATAACCTCTTTTCTAACCTCTTTTCTACCCTCTTGAATTTTCATGAATTTCTTCGTAAAGACTTTGTTAAGACTTCTTCATCTAATTTCTCATGAACTTTCTTGTCTATGTTTTGTTGAGATTTCATCGTAAAGACTTTGTTGAGATTTCTTCGTAAATGACCCTAGTAGTATATTTTTGGTGTAAATTTCATGAAAATTCAAGAGGGTAGAAAAGAGGTTAGAAAAGAGGTTATATCTAACCTTCTACCCTAAACATTATTTTTGTCTGATTTTACGAAGAAGTCTTGACAAAACATTTACGAAGAAGTCTTGACAAAACATTTACGAAGAAGTCTTGACAAAACATTTACGAAGAAGTCTTGACAAAACATTTACGAAGAAGTCTTGACAAATTCAAGAGGGTAGAAAAGAGGTTAGAAAAGAGGTTATATCTAACCTTCTACCCTAAACATTATTTTTGTCTGATTTTACGATGAAGTTTTGACAAAGTCTTTACGATGAAGTTTTGACAAAGTCTTTACGATGAAATCTTGACAAAGTCTTTACGATGAAATCTTGACAAAGTCTTTACGATGAAATCTTGACAAAACATGAAAAACATATATAATTTGTGAAAAGCTCCTGGAAGACCCGTATATAAGAACTTCATTTCTCCTAAACATCTTCAGGGCTAGAAGGCACGAAGTGCCTGGAAGCCCCACTACCTTTTTTTTTTTTTTTTTTTTTTTTTTTTTTATCCACAAGGCTATTATAATTTTGAATTGAAAATTTTGGAAAGGCTCATATTTTTGAGATCTAAAGTGATAAATAGCATTTCATATGTGAATAGATTGTATTCGACCACAAGAATTGTTATGAAAAGAAAGTAACGAAATCTATTTTCAAAAAAAAAATAAGTTAAAAAATTGTGGGGTTAGATACGTTATTTAAAACAAAATGACTCTTCCTCTTCTTCCGGGTCACACATTCCCCGACCCAACACAAACACGCTTCCACAAGAGCCAAGCTCTTGTTTTTGAGAATGGTGGCATGGCCATTCACGAGAATGCTCCCGGCATTGGCGGCACACTTCTTCCAGGTCAGTTACCACCAAAAGAAGCCATTAGCAGCACAACAATCTACAATCAAGCTATGGGCGACAGCAACCAAGAAGGAGAAACAGTTCCTGCTTGGGTTGCCTTTGGTTCACAAGTATTACGTTTTTACGGCTACTTCAAGGAGCCCGTTTTCAGCAGCCAGGAGGAGACATATCGCGTTCGCAAAGTTAAAATCTTATTCTTCTTAGAAGATGATACCATCGAAATTGTCGAACCACGCGTTAAGAACAGCGGCATTCCACAAGGCACATTCCTTCGCCGTCACCGTGCCAAGAAGGACGATGATAGCTATGTTAATGTTGGCGACTTCCACATTGGTGAAGAATTTTCACTTTACGGTCGTGTTTACTTCATTCAGGAAGCAGACAAGTTCACACACGAATTCTTAGACAAGCTTAATCGCGACGGTCGCACTGATGAGACAATTCCAGACGATCCATACATCCAGAAGCGTACTCTTGTTGAATACAACGAAACACACCGTAACAGAGGTGTTCCTAAACCAGAGATGCTTAAGCTTCGCCAGTTCCTTGCCAACGATGGCCATGTTCTTCGTTTCTACGCTACATGGGATAACCGCGACCGTCCATTCGGTGATTTGAGACAGTTCGTTATCCACTACTACTTGTCTGACGACACCATGGAAGTTCTTGAAGTCCGCCACCAAAATGATGGTCGTGATCCAGTTCCATCCTTTGTCAAGCGTGGCCAGATTCCAAAGCGTCTTCTTTCTCTCAGCGAAAACGATCCACGTTTCCTTCCAGCCGAGAACTACTTCCGTCCAACAGATCTTCACATTGGCGACGACATCCAGATTCTTGGCCGTACAATGCACATCTTCGACTGCGATCCATACACACGCAACTGGTACATTGAGAACATGGGCTACAGTGCAGAAGAAATGTCACCTGTTGCACAAGAAACAGTTGAAGACAAGCCAACACAAGTCAAATTCGAAGTTCCACCTCCATCTCTTATTGGCAGTGATGAAGACACACTTAGATCATGCATCTCCCTTCATCCAAAGCCAGCACCAAAGGACCAAGTCAAACTTCTCAAGCACAGCAACGACATTCTTCGTTTCAAGTGCCACATGGTCACACGCAACAGCGTTGATGCAAGCCGCAGCTTCATTCTCACATACTTCATGGCTGATGACACAATCCAAGTCTTCGAACCACCTGCTCGTAACAGCGGTATCATTGCAGGTAAATGGCTTCAGCGTACTAAACTCACTAATCCAGATACAGGAAAACCATTCCAAGCCAGCGATTTCGAGATTGGAAAAGTCCTTACAATCAACTGCAGCAAGTTCCAACTTGATGAAGCTACTGAATACGCACTTTCATTCATGGAAGCAGATCCAGACAGCTTCCCACAGGCAGACTTGAACCGTATTGTTACAGATTTCCGCGCAGGTCTTAAGCAGAGTGGAAAAGATGCAACTGATTTGTTCAAGAAGTTCGCTAGTAACAACAAGATCGATGTTAAAGGTCTTCAGTCTATCTTCGAGGCTATTGGTCTTAGCATCAATGTCCATGAAGCTATCACAATCTTCCGTCGTTACAGCACTGAATCAAAGCCAACATCACTTAATATCCGCGACTATTTGTCATTTGCCCAATAAATTTCTTTTTTTGCTTTTTTTGAATTAAACATTTATTATTATACTACAATTTTTGTATTATTAGCCATAAACCTTTTATCTAAATGGCTTTTTCCGTTTTCTAACTTACATTTCATTCCATAATTTCATTTCTCTTTTTTTCTTATAAAATACTTTGTCAATCCAATAAGCACGTAAGTGTATAGTATCCTTTTACTGTATTTCATTCCAATTTTTTAAATTAGAAGTATATTTCAAAGGATTTAAGAAATAATAAAAATTTATTAAAACCAAAACATATGTAGAGCCATAGTATGAAAGTTACCAAGAATTTATCATATAAAAATCTGAAAAAGATAAAAGATTAAAAAATATAATTTTATATTAATGCAGATGAAACGTGTGTTTCAATATTACAATGGTTACTCCCTCTGAGAAACTTCATTGAGCCATTTATTCCCCAATTCGGACCGTATGAATTAAGAATCCACCAAAATGGAGTTTCTTTTTCTTTTCCCCAGCCATATATCACCACAGCATGTTGGAAAGAGGATTCTTCTTCTGAAAGGACTGATTGATAAACACCAGACTTGTAATACGCAAGGTCAGGTCTAACATCAAAAACTGCTGTGACTGGGCCATTTTGGAGTATCTCGTTCTTAATTTCGTCTTCTCCATAGAAGAATTTATGGCTATTGTGTTGAGTTTTGTACTTTTTGCAATTATTTTGAACACAAGTCCAATTTAACTCGAATGGATGGCATGTTGTGTTCGGTATTCCGTTCATTTGTAAGTATCTCCATGAAAATATAACATTTCCTCCAGCATATGAAGAGAAAGTATCACAAGAAGTAATTGGCTGAGGATTTAATGTTATTTTGGTCTGAAACTTTTTACAGTATCTCTGAGAAATAGATACAGCTGGTGCAATCGCAAAACATATATTGGTTTTGTTCTGATCAAAAGGAGTAACATAGCAATCTGGATTTTCTGCTATAAAATTAAAGGAACTATCGTCATTTGTATTAGAACTTCTTGGGATTATGGATCCAAAGCGCCCCAAATAAGTATTGGCAAAATTGGATAAGGATTTTGGTTTATTATGGTAAATATGATTCGAAGGATAAACTGTTGCTTCCCATGTATTGTTTGGGATTGAGTTTATATATTCTACAAGTTTAATGGAAGAGAAACAGATACAAAAAAATTCAATTATTTGCTCTAAAAAGTGACGAGTCAGTGGTAGATAATGATTTTTATCAAACAAAATTACATTATTGTAATACAGTTGTGTGTACAAACGGAGTCGTTGGTGAATTCAATCGAAAAATGGTTGATTCGGATTCGGTAGAATGTAAATTATCATTTCCGAGTGATTTAAGTCCTTAACGATGATGAACATATCGTAAAACGAAATATTCTAGGGAAGCATACTCCTTTTGTGAACTGAATATAATCAAAATTGATATTGGCCCGATGTTTGTAGGCCAATATTACTAACATTCGACCATTTGGATATATGGCACTTGCTTTTTTGACTATTTAAGGCTGAACATTTTAGATAGCATATATCCCAAAAAGGTAATATCCTTGGATAAATGCCATAAAAATTAACTGGCTGGCAAATTATCTGTTATAGATTAAAGTCAGAAGGTCCGAAAAGTTCAGAAACCTTTAAAAAGAACCAAGCCATTTAACCAATTAAACATTCAGCTCGAGGTATTCAGACAGCTCACTCTATATTGCTACAGGAGAAATGTACAGATGATTTGTAGATAAAAAAAATTGATTAATATTATTTCCGTAGAAACTCTTTAGAGGTTAGAGGATGTAAGGTACTGAGCAACCTTGCCGACGGAGGCAGAGAGGGCAGCTGGATGGAACTGGCCATCTGTGAAGCCGGCGATGATAAGTGTCTTTGTCTTCTGGAGGACAACAGCCTGCTTGCCCTTCATAGCGAAGACCATCTCTGTGTTAGCCTGGTTGCAGATGTACTTCTCGCCACCATAGTAAAGGCCAGAGAGAGCTGGGGATGGTTCTGTGAAGTATGTGATGTACTTGAGGAGTTCGTCCTGTGTAGCCTTCCATGTGCCTTCCTTAGCGCAAAGGGCACCCTGCTGTGTGATGATAGCGCAGCCTGTTGATTCTGTCTTGAGTTGGACAAGTTGATCGCTCCACGACATTATAATTAAGTGAAGTGAAAGCATTCATTCAAAAAAATTCATATAATTTTTTTTCAATGGCGTTGTTCAAATAAAATCATTTTTGAAGTATTATTTCGATTTATATGATAATGGTAATTTCATTTCCGAAATTTGTTTATCTCACCTCTATGTAACCAAAGATGAAGTGAATCCATTTTTCAAAGGATTGAACATCGTTAGTTCAGAAAATCTTTCTTATTAGATTGCATAACATACGTTAGTACTTAAAATTTCATAATTATTTCATAGAGTTATAAAAAGAAGACGGTTTTGTCAAGTGATCTGATATGATTTTATGAAAAATTATTAATAGAGTGCAAGACATTTCACTGCACATCGAATTAAACATCAAATAACATCAAATTTCATTAATTCATAAATGGTCAGTAGTATATGTTGAAGGGTTGTGTGACTTTTTTTGTTACGTCTATATATAGATGAAGGTATATTTTCACATCTTCTATATATAGATGATATAAAAATTTTTTCTTACGTTTTTTAAGTCATGAATTCGTAAGAAAGCGCGACATTATTAAATAAATTAGTAATAAATATTATATACTAAACACATTTTAAAAAATTAACATTAATTTTAAAATAATTTATTTTTTATCTTTTATAAAAGAAGCTATATATAGATGATGTCAGATATTCCACGATTAATTAAACATTGTTTAAATCCTGAATGGGTTAAACTTCAATTTAAAAATGAAGATTGTGAATTATTAAATGAATATGAAAGCCAAAATAAGCTAATGAGGTATAAATATAATGATAAAGAATATTTAATTTCATGGAATCAATGGAGTCATAATCAAAGACCTCATAAACGAGAAAAAGAAATTGAAAATAATGAAATGGAAATCATTGATGACATTAAAGAGGATGGAATTCCTAAATTTTGTAGAAAAACCTTTAGAACTAAGTTAGGAGCATATAAACGTAGAGTATTAAATCCTGAATATCTTAAACATCAATTTAAAAAGGAAGACTGTGAATTATTAAACGCTAATGAATATGAAAATGCTAAATCAAAACTGAGATATAAATATATTGGAAGTGATGAAAGGTGTAAAGATAAAGATAAAGTTTATTCAGTTTCATATAATAACTGGCACACGTTAGGGATAAGAAAACATTTAGGAGATTATGGTAAAAGTTCTGAATTCTTTAAATCTAGTATGTAAGTAGTATATATGACGGGTTGTGTTCATACAATATTGAACGATTTTGTATCATTTTTTTACATATGAAGTAAAAAATGTATGATTCTTACAGTTTTTATTCTTACGTTTTTGAATAAATCAAGATTTAAAAATTTTCAAAATTGTAAGACATTTACACTCAACCCATACATAATGAAATAAAAAATAAAAAATAAAAATTTTAAAAAATAAACTTTAAAAATTCATGTCTTACATTTTTTGAATCATATATTTTTTATTTTGTATGAAATGAGCGTCAAAACTAACAGCGTTAAAAAATTGGGATTCACAAATGAGGAAATAAAGGAAATATTAGAGGAAGCGGGTTATGAAGTTGATAAATGTTATTTAAGAAATTGTCAAAAATTTGCCGAGTTTTTAAATGAGTTTGATTATGATGGAAAAATGAATAAAAATGATGTTATAAATTTCTTATATCCCACATCTAAAGAAGAAAAACCTAAAGAACCTGATGTTTTCCCTGAATATTATGAAGAACGAATTAAAGATGATGAATATGATGAAATTGAAAGACTGGAAAAAATAAGAGATGAAATAGATGAAAAAATTAAGGAATTAAGAGAAGTTGAAAAATATAATGAAAATGAAGTAGAGGGTTTAATGAATATCCCAGCTTCAGAATCAGAAGTTCAGAAATCTCATGAAGAAAGATATAAAAATTATGTCTTAGAATCAACACAAAATTTATTAGATGGTGAAATAGATGAAACACTTTCAGAAGAAGGAACTAAATTTATTCGTAAACATAAGTTACAATTTATTGATAATGAAGAATACCCTTGCATATTACTTTCACCACCTTTAGATTCTGAGAAATTCAAAAAAGCTCTTAAAAACGTGACATATGCAACTAATACAATTAAGAAAGAAGATCATGATATTTACACAAATTATTATTTAAATAAATGCACAGGTGTTGATAAAGTTTTTGATTTATTAGATAAAATATCAAAAGAAACCATTGGAACCTATAAAATTTTGTGTGATTGTGGTTTCATTATTGAAGATACCAATAATGTTTCATATGAAAGAACAGCACCGAAGGAAGATGAAGTTGAAAGGTCTATACCATTCGTTATTAAGAACATAAAAGATATGAAAACTTATAAACATTATATTTATTCATTTATTTCAGAAAAAATGGAAGCAACCCATAAAACATCTTCTCATCATTTTATAGCTATTCATACATTCCTTTTCAAAGTTGTGAAATTAAATAAGACAGGAATTAGATTTAATGTATCAGGGTACACATTCTTGAGTAAATTAAAATGTATTCGTCACGTCGCCGATGATAAAAATTTATGTATTCTTAATTCATTTTATGGACTTTAGCCCTGGACTCTCTGAGTCTCGGACTTTAAAAAAAATAAACTTTATTTTTATTTATTTTTTAATTTTTATTCTTACATAAATGAACAAAAATGGAACAGCTAAAATGAATGATAATCAAATAAGAGCCGAAGGTAGAAGGTTATTTAAACGCTTCTATAACATTCCTGATGGTGTTAATCCTAAAACTCGTAGAAGTTATTTAAATGAAGCCATAGATGCATATGAAGGATTTGACATTTCATCAGAAAGTGAGAGGTTAGCAAGAATGTTAAACGTTAATATTGATTTTTATTATTGTGACCCTCAACCAGAAGACGTAGACATTAACAAGGTAGACTTTCCATTAGTGGAATCAATAATGATAGATCCAGAATTTGAAACAGTAAATATTTTATTAACACAGAGTCCATGTGGAAAACTTCACGCTGACAGAATTACAGACGTTGAAGCACTCACAGGATATAAAGTTTGCCCCTTTTGCAAAGAAGAAGTATATTCTATCCGTGATGATCCAGAAAGGAAAAACCAAAGAAGATTTTTAAAACATTGTGAGAAATGTAAAGAAAATAATGGAAGATTAATTCAAGACGTTCAATTGCAAAACACACAACAACCATATACACCACATATCACGAAACAGAAGATATATCAGTGGTTATTAGCACATAATTTGCAGGAATATTATAAACCAACAAGATATTATATTACTTTTGACTTCGAAACATTAGAGACTAAAGAAGAACTTCAACTTTCTGAATGTGCAACTTTGAACGCTTACTTAAAACCATTTATGGTATCATCAACTGTCAAAATAAAGCCGCAAAGCGGCGAGGTCGTAGACCGTGATAAAACATTTACGAGGAATTTTTGCTTAACTTCGAGTGATTCTTTTATTTCTGATTGGATTGAGTTTTTATTTTCAACCTGTTCATTAGTTGCTAAATCAAATATTGAACAATATGAAGAATTAATGAATACATTAAATGAGAAACAAAAGGAAGCAATGAAAGAGCTTTTAGATGAAGAATTTAATAAAGTGAATATCATTGGTTTTAATTCGGGAAAGTTTGATTTAAATTTAATTCTTCGTGATTTAAATACTGCAAAATGGAAGATAAAATCAATGCTGGGTTCTTCTTCTCAATTTAAGCAAGTCATAGTAAAGAAAACAAACTGTCCATATGAATTGAGATTTATTGACATCAGAAATTATATAGCGGGTGGGACATTAGACCAATTCACTCAAGATTTCGGAAACAATAAATCACGTGTTAAATCCTTTTTCCCTTATCAATTCATCACATGGGAAAATTACGAAGAAAAATTATATAAAGAGGAACCATTCACTCAAGATTCATTTTATTCAGCATTAACCCAAGAAACAATATCAGATAGTGATTATCAAATATATCTCAATGATGCTAAAAACTTTAAGAATAGATTAGAATATTTTATTCATTATTGCAATAAAGATGTTGAAATTATGATTGACCCAATTGATAAAATTATTGAAGAAACATTTGTTTATAAAATTGACATGCTTCATAATCTTTCTTTATCATCGAATGCATCAATGATTCGTTACGCGTTAGCATATAAGAACTTCAATCCTAACGAAACATATCCAGAAGAAGAAAATGTGGAATCAAGTTTTGAATTAACGAAAAAGTATTGGAAATATAAAATTGAATCATATAAGAAACAAGATGAAAAGGCGAAAAGAGATACCAAAAACAATGTTTCAATGGATGACTATCAATACTATCACGATTTAATCCTTTCATCTAAATGCAAAATGTGTGGTAAAGCGTTTACATATGCAAATAAACCAACATTGGATAGAATCGATAATGAAAAACCACATACTAAAGAAAATTGTCAGTTAATGTGTTGTTATTGCAATGTCGTAAAATCAAATAAAGATGAAGATGTTCAACGTTTAAGAATCAATTTAAGAAATTACGCATTAAAAAATAATTTACCAATGACTTTAGATTCAGTTGAAGCTTATCACATTCTCCGTAATGGAATTACTGGTGGTTTATCAAATGTTCAACATAGAGTAAATCTTAAAGGAATCACGCACATTAATAAACTTGCATATAATCCAGAAACTAAAACTGTATCAAATGAGGACACCACCAACATTATGACTCATTTCGTTGGTGTTGATTTTAATTCATTATATCCTTCATCATTTTCATCTAATCCTCATGATTTCATTCAATATACTGACCATAAAATGTATATGCCGGGAAGATTGAATGGTGTTATCATTTGTGATACAGCAACAAAGAAAGCAAAAGCACTGGGAATTATTAGAAAGAAAAATACTTTATTCGTGGCTGAAGTAAAGGGTCACATTGATGAAAAATACATTAATGATTACATAAACTTTTTACCGATAATAAGAAACTTAGATATTATCACAGATGAAAAAACAATTAGCAGTTTTATGTATAATTACATGAAATCAAACAATCTACCAGTTGACCAGAAACAGAGGAAATTAACTCAGTTAGCATCAACACACAACCAATATCAACCATTTTCTTCTTATTATCTATGGTATCTAATAGACAGATTTCATTTTATCATCGATGATATTCAATCAATTTTAACATTTACTAAAAACACTTGTTTTAATGAATTTGCGAATGAATTTATGAACGAAAGACAAAAGGCTGAATTAGAAGGAAATAAAGGAAAAAGTTTATTTTGCAAGATTTCACTTAATGGATCATATGGTTACGATGCAATGAATACACAAAATTACACAAAGACTAAAATAATGAATGCACATAAGTCACGCGTTGCATGTATGTCAAATAAGTTTAAAAACATAAGAGAAATAGGAGAGGATACGTATCAAGTGATGCTCAAAGATAGATTTTATAGATGTGATACATGTTTACAAGAGGCATTCTTCACTTTAGATAATGCTAAATACTGGTATTTGGTTTTCATTTATGATTTTATGTATAAATGCATGGATGTTAATCGTTTTCATTTCATTGAAGGTGATACTGATTCATCTTATTGGGCAATCGCTGGCGACCCAAATCTTCCTAACACTCAAGCATTTCAAGCAATTGTAACCGATAAACAATTTTATGATAAAAACATTTTCAAATTCGCACCTTTTGATTTCTTCTGTTTTGATGAGAAATTTAAACCTAAATTAAAGAATAAAGCTGAAGAAAAAGCACATGAGAAGAAGTTATTGGGTTTAGCAATTGAGAAACAAGGTGATAACATGGTTGCTTTATGTCCTAAGTGTTATACATCATTCAACGGTTCAATTGATGGGGGTGATTTTAAAAAGATTGCACAAAAAATGAAAGGTGTTAGTTTACGACAAAATAAGCAATTAACACCTAAAAAATATTTGGATATAATAAATGATAAAGTGATATTTGATGGTCAGAATATTAATTTACAACTTAAAAACGGGTCAATGACTCGCTTAACAATTGGTAAGACTGCATTAACAGGAGCACACACTAAGGCTGTATGTTGTGAAAATGGATGTTGTATGCCATTTATTTAATAAAATACCACAGAAGAGACAAAAGGAACCGTTAATGATGGTTTTGATACTATGATTCAAAGAGGTGGGCACCCTTAAAACACTTATTTTATTTTTATATAAATGGATAACGTAGATTTAAAAAATTTAATTGGTGATTTAGTACTTAATCAAAAATTTCTTAGTTATTATGAATTAAAATCATATCTCCAAAAATATAATAATAATATAACAAGTGATGATATGGAATATTATTATCCATATTATAAAAATGAAATTTTGAAATATCATGATAGAATAATTTCTAAAATTAAAGACAAAATTAAAAATAATGAATATACAAAGGGAAAAACTAAATCACAACTTAAACAATTGAAAGATTTCAAAAATAAAGTATTAACAGAAGAAGATATTGATGAATTATATAATTTATATAATCCTGAGCTGCAAAAGCCAAAGGAACAAAAACAAAAGGAACAAAACGCCCAGGTTCTTCAGACCATAAATGATGCACAAGCTTTAATTTATGATTCATTAGTTAAACCATATTCAGCCCGACTTTTAAATGAAGATCAACTTTTGGAATTCATCCTTCAACATAAACTCGAAGCGGGAAAGTATATCAAACCTTTATATACAGCATATTTAAAACAAATGAATAGAATACATCCAGAATTAATGAAGGAAGGAATGAAATCCAAAATCAAAGCAGATAAAATTAAACCACTTGCAACACCAAAACCTCCAACGACAGTACCACCTCCTCCTTCAGTTAATCCTTCATCATTCACTTTATTATATCCATTTCAAACATTAAAGAAGCAAAAAGATTTTAAAAAGGATTTCAAGATATTAAATAAACCAATTGACCCAAAAATTCAACCGTTAAAGGAAAAATTTAGTCGCCCTTCATTTGCTCCATATCCATATTCATACGAAATCGATCATCTGGAATATTCAAAAGGAAACGTTACTTATTTATTTGCCATTAACATTAACACTAGATATTTATATTGCATTCCAGTGAAAGGGAAAACAGAACAGGAAACAAGAAGAGCTATTCAATACTTACTAGATCATGAAAGAGTAGATAATATAAGGGGTGATGGTGATAAAGGATTTCAGGCAGCTATGATTCATTATTTCCCACAAATTAATTTTTACTTTTCATCCTCTCCATATACGTTTCATAATAAAATAGTTGATGCGGTAATGAGAACTCTTAGAGATGCGTTAGGGGTTAACGGTCAGATATACTGGGATGGAAATCATGACTCCATCATACAACAGTTAGTATATTATTATAATAATACATGGCATAGAACAATAAACATGAAACCGGTGGAAATGAAAAATGATATTTCAAAAGAATGGGAATATATTAGAAAGCAAATGGAAAGGTTGAATGATGTTAAACGTGAACAAATTAATTCGGGGCTCATGAATTTTAAACAAGGAAATAAAGTTTTAATTCATCTCGATTATGGAAAAACTGATAAATCAATGACAAAAAGAAGACGAAGATTTGACACAATAGCTGAATTTGTTAGATATATTAACGGCAATGCATTAGTTGAAGTTGACAATAAATTAATAGAAATTCCGATTTATTTTATTACTCCATTATATTTAAATAATATTTAATTTTTTTTTATTTCGTAAGAAATGGGTGACAACAAAGCAGTCAAGAGTCCAGACGATGAATATAAAAAGAAACTAAACAGAATTAAATCAAAAATATGCTATTACAAAAAGAAGCCACAATGTGGTGGAACTGAAAACGATGAAGAGAGGAAAGAAATAATCGAAAAATTAGAAACTTACCGTTCAATCCTTAAACTGAGTGAAGCAAAAATAAAAGAATTTAATAGAATAAATAAATTGATTGGAAGAGATGAATTTAATAAAGATGAATTTTTAAACTCTATCCAAATTTAATTTTTATTTTTCTTTGACAACATCTCTCTTTCCATCATTACTGCATAACCACATTTTCTCAGTTTTAGTGGTTTGTTATTTTTAGCAAGTTCTCGCATCATTTTTATCATTTCCTCCCTTGTTATAATTCGTGGTAAATTTTGAGCTTGTGGGGTATTCATTTATGATAAAAATAAAAATTTGTTATCAGTTATTTTATCGTTAATGGTTTTTAGGTTATTCAATAATTAATTATTTTTGAAGAACTGAAGGTGTCACCACGTCACCATGTGTCACCAGGTTAATTAACTTCTCTGAAAAAATGAGACAACATGACATTTTGACAACATCACAGGAGGAAGGCAGTTATGAATTATTTTTGAAGAACTGAAGGTGTCACCACGTCACCATGTGTCACCAGGTTAATTAACTTCTCTGAAAAAATGAGACAACATGACATTTTGACAACATCACAGGAGGAAGGCAGTTATGAATTATTTTTGAAGAACTGAAGGTGTCACCATGTCACCATGTCACCAGGTTAATTAACTTCTCTGAAAAAATGAGACAACATGACATTTAGACAACAATCCTGGAAATTTGATGCAGTCCAAAAATAAAGTTAGTTTTAAAATTATTTTTATTTTTTTATTCCTATATAAATGACAGCAACAAACAACAACAACAACAACAACTATATCGTTTCTGATGAAAAAGTTATTGATTCATTAGCTGAGGAATTAGTTGTGGCAGAAACTAAAACCCTCAACGAAAGAATTGGTGAAAACAAGATTGATTTACATAACTACCTCAAACATGATGGAGGAAGAGGAAGGAAAACTGGTATGGCTTTATTAGTAAATAAAATTTCAAATTTAACGATTATAGATGTTGATATCAATAAATCGTACAATGATGAACTTAAAGAAACAGTCAGAAAAGACATTTTATCAAAACTTTCGGATAAAGATGTTATCGTTAAAACCACTTCAGGAGGTCTTCACATTTATTGCAACACTAATTTCTTCTATGCAGTTTCGAACAGAATGATTAAATGTTATTCCTGCAATGATTATGATATTGACATAATGACTTCTATTGATGATTCAAAGCGTTCATTAGTAGTTATGGCTGATTCAAGAGTTCGCAAGAATGCATCAGAACCAATCAATACATACTCATTCATTCGTGGAAGTTACGATTCAACATTAACTAGAACAGTGAATGATATATTAAATGATTTGAATATTAAGGTAAGAGTTGAACAGAAGAACGAAGAAATAAAGAGTATAATGAATGAAAACAAAGATGTAAACATTGACGATAAACTTGCCCAGAGCATAGTTGATGGCATCTGTGATTTTGAAGTACATAATGATGGTGGAAACATGAATTTAGAAAAAGAAGTTACATTATTCACACTGTTTCAAGCTATTAATTCATTACCGGATCATTTAATTAATGAAGCATACGATAACGTTTATAACTTCTGTAGTTTAACAGAAAATGCTAAAAGTAATTTTGAAAAAGCACGTAGTAGATATGCACATTTAATGACTTCTCCATTTGTTTTGGTGAAGATTCTAAAACTTTATCAAAAGGAATATTATGATGAATATGTTTTACCTTTATTACGTAAGCCAAAAATAACATTTGATATCAAACTTGATGACTCGTTTTTGATAACAGATATTAGACGCAAGGCTGAAAATCATCAGTATAAAAACAGTTCTGAAGTAATTGAGGATTTATCACGTGTAATTCGTTTTGTAGATTGTGGAAACAAATACTTCATTCAAAAGGACTATAATATCCACGACAAAATGAATCAAATATCATTTGTTCTTCAATCAAACATGAAAGAGTCACTCAAAATGATTAAATTATTTAAAGAAGAAGGTAAAACCATAACAGCATGGGATGTACTACTAAATCAATTGTCTTCATTAACCGTTAAGGGTGTTTGCTTTAAATCTGATTCCCCAGATGTTTTCTCAACGTTTCAGGGTTATAAATACAACATTCTCGAAAAACCAGATTACTCAAAAATTGAGATGTTTATGAATTTCATTAAAGAAGCCATTTGTGATAATAACGATGAAGTGTATAAATACCTACTCGGCTGGATTGCATCAATGATTCAACATCCTGGAATCAAGAATGAAACAGCAATTATTTTGAAAGGACTTCAGGGAACAGGTAAAAACAGATTTACAGACATTATTTCTGAACTCCTCGCCGGTTATTCATGTAAAAACATTACTGAAATAAGTGAGCTAACGGGTAATTTCAACTCAGTAGTTGAAAATAAAATGTTTCTTGTACTTAATGAACTCAAGAATGTAGGTGAAGACAGACTTGCAAACTTCAACGCTTTGAAATCAATTATTACGGATAATGAGATTAGAATTAATGAAAAGAATCAACCCAGAAGAACAGCTCAGAATGTTGCCAATTTCATTTTCGTAACTAATAACGTCTACCCCGTCAAAATTGAAGTTGGAGACAGAAGATACGTAGTTTTAAGGGTTAATGGTAAATTCAAGGGTCAATTTGATTACTTCAAGAATTTAATGGATTCATGCACTAAGGAATTTTATGATAACCTTTTAACATATTTTATGCAATATGACCTTTCATCATTTAATGTACGAATCATACCGATGACTGAAGCCAAACAAGATTTAATTGAATTATCATCAAATCCTTTAGATGTATGGATAAATACACATTATGATGAATTGTGTGCAGGTATGACGTGTGAAAATGCTTTATTCTGCAAACCATCAGACATGAAAGACAAGAATTTCCAAATGAGCATTAAGGATAAATGTGATAGGAAACAGAGAAGAATAGATGGTAAACAAACATGGTGTTATGTTTTGAAAGAAGAAATGAAAGGATTATATAAACAGGTTGAACCAAACGATAATGAGGATTCATTTACTGACGATGAAATACCTGTAAATGAGGCAGTATAAAGTATGATTGGAATTTATTTTTGCCTTCCTCCTGTGATGTTGTCAAAATGTCATGTTGTCTCATTTTTTCAGAGAAGTTAATTAACCTGGTGACACATGGTGACGTGGTGACACCTTCAGTTCTTCAAAAATAATTCATAACTGCCTTCCTCCTGTGATGTTGTCAAAATGTCATGTTGTCTCATTTTTTCAGAGAAGTTAATTAACCTGGTGACACATGGTGACGTGGTGACACCTTCAGTTCTTCAAAAATAATTAATTATTGAATAACCTAAAAACCATTAACGTAAACATATATTTTTAGTCGTTTATGATAAAAATAAATGGTTCATTTACTCACAATATTTTTGTACAAAACGACCCCAAACTTTTAACTTCTTTTCTGCAGTTTCTAATGCTATCTTAGCGAGTTCATATTCTCTAAATTCTCTCTTTAAATCTTCTTGTTCCCATTGGTCTAGTTCGTATGGGGAATCTCTATAACCATAACATATCTCACGTTCGTGTTCTAATTGTTTTTCACACATTTTTCTCACTTCTTCTTCAAATAAATGTTTAGCATTCTCTACTGTATCTTCGAGTTCTTCTTCATCTAATTTCTCATGAACTTTCTTGTCTATGGAGTCCATAATATCTTTGACATAAAATGCATACTTTACAGAGCACCATTCAGCAACAAAATGAACGAGGTCAGGATGTATGTAAATACCTTTGAATTCATTTATAACACCCTTAGTAAGCTCATAAAATGCTTGTTTTGAGGTTGAGCCACTTTTGGCTCGACCGTATTCATTCATCCAAAACTCAATAATTTCCTGCATTTTAGTACTATTGAGAAATCTGTTTAAATGGTTTAACCTTCCCACTTCTCTTGCCATCTTTGTTGCATTAATGTAACCATCCTTGTCTCTACGTAATACTTCAATACCATTATAAGTGCCTTTTGTGAATGTTTCACCATTAGATTTGTTCGTGAATGTTTTTGCTTCGACTGACATTTCTGTTCTTACATACAAAATAAAAAAAATAAAAATAAATAAAGTTGAGGTGAAGAGGTGAGATCTCGCCTGTTTTTTATGATAGTAGTGAAATAAAATTTTGTTATCAGTTATTTTATCATCATTTTATTAAGTTCATCTTTAGTTAATAATTTGAATGGATTCACTAATGTTCCACCTTGAGTCACAACACTTGCCCCGGCTAATTGTGAAGAACCTGGGATAAGTACTCCATGAAATGATTTCATTGGTATCATTAATTTAGAAATAGTTGGCTTAATTAATTTTGTCATTTATGATAAAAATAAAAATTTAAATTATGCCGTTCGCTCTTTTGGAGCTCAGGACTTTCAGTCCGTTCTAAAGTTTGTTTCACAAACATTGAGCGTTCATTGAACTCTATACCATGCGTAAACTGTCATGTAAGGTGGCATGTATTCTTTACTTTGTCCCGTTGTTTGTGTATATCCTGAAACGAAATGTGTATGGTTTCCTTCTCCCTGAGTGTCACTCCAGTAACAATTTATAGCAAACTTAACGTCGTCTTTAACATCATATCCTTTACCTTTTGTCATTCCTGACCAATCCCAATATCTATGCCTATGCCAACCTGCTTGAGATGTACTTAAATCTATGTAGTGACTGTGTGCAGGTAAATTTTCACCTGAAATCGTTTTACTTCCCCCCGTTTCCTTTGAAGAGTTTGCACAATACAAAAACCTGTCAACTATTTGTTCCCATGCACCAACACCAAACATTACTTGAGGACCTCTCACATCCATAGATGTATAAATAGAACCTACTAGGTTCATTAAATCAAACATATGAGATATTATAGGATTGTCTCTTTTGAACTTAAAATATAGTGCAACTATTTCTGGTTTCTTCTGGTTTGTGTCAGAATATTTTTTATAATATAATCTTATGTTTTCAGGGTAGGTAAAATCTTGACTATAATATTTATTTCTGTCATCTGTATAATAATATACTATTCTCGTTTTTTCTATTGCATTATATCTTTTATATCTATAATAATCTAAATATAATGTTAGCTTTTGTTCATCTACATGTGGTGTTCTGTCGTCATCTCCATAGTCATAATAATATGGTGCTGGAGCTGGGTTAGGCAATGTCATATCTGCCATTTCATAAACTCTTAAATATTTCTTTTGTTCGTCTCCATATAAGTTTAAGTAGCAGTTGTTGTCTAATGGAATTTTAACTTGTGTACCATTATTCTTTTTATAGCTTACATACATTTCATTGTTATTTTTCGGAATGAGTTTACACCGTATACCATTTTTTAAGGACTGTACAAACTGCCATCTAAAATATTTATTTTCTTCATTGACAGAAAAGTCACCAACAATAGTTTCAATATTTTTTGTTGTTCCTATCAAACTTTGGTATATTTCGTTAACAAAAGTTTTATCTGCCTTCTTCTCTAACTCACTATCCACATATGTTTTATCTGCTTTAAGGTCTAAACATCCTAAAATCCATTTTGTATCAGCTTTAACTTTAAAAGTCTCCAGTGTCCATTCATGATTCCATTCAACCTTTTCTTTAATTTCATTATCTTTTTCATCAACATAAACCAAATTTGCCTTCTTCTCTAACTCACTATCCACATATGTTTTATCTGCTTTCTTCATTAATTCACTATCCACATAAGTTTTATCTGCTTTCTTCATTATGTCGTTTAGGAAACCATCTATGAATTCCTCATTTAAATTAAATCTTCCAATCTTCAAAACTTTAGGAAATGCATTTAATGCGTAATATCTCTGTTCTTCTGGTGGAATTGATGTTATATCATCCGTTATTCCTTTAATTTTTGAATTCATAAATAAAATTTCTTTTATATTTGATATCACTGCACCACCTTTGCAAACGAATTCGAAATGGTCATTTTTCAATACTATCTCCAAATCTCCATATTTCAACCTTTGCGTTTGTTCTGCCGTCTTTGAATTATATGCATATATGGCGTATGTAATGGTCTGAGGGACCTGGGTGCTTTGTGCCTTAAGTTATTGTGGTTGCTGTTGTTTAATCATTTACTATGATTTAAAAATAAATATTTAATCCGTTATCTCATCAGCTATTTTCTCTATTTGAAATTGCCATAATATTTCATTCATAAATTCTAAATCACAATCAAATAGGTCAGTTATTCTAAATTTAATATTTGATAAATCTTTTGAATGAAGAATAAATGAATTCCCGGATAATTGAAACGGATATGATAAAGAAAATGTGTTTAAGTTGATGGATAAAATGTTTTGTATTGATGGGTAAGAGTTAGGGTCTAATGTTTGATGTGAAAATCTCATTGGGGTATTAACTTTATCACATTTGATTAAAATGAAATTGGAACCAGTGTCAGAATACAAAACATCCCCAACATCTTTTTCAAAATTTAATATCCCCAACAATGAACGAAGATGAGGAGTACAAAATTTAATTTTCAGCGGAAATTTAATAAGGTTATTTATTTCATCAAGTTCAAAAAGTTTATCAGGTTTTGATTTAAAATTTTCTTCATACCATATGATAAATGATTCATTTAAATAACTTAAAATCGTGTTAATATCCCATTTCGCTATCACATTATTTATATACATATCATACGTTTTTTTCATGGTCATCTTTAATAAATGATATATAATCTGAAGGGTCTAAAAGAATGGGATTAAATTTACCACTCACAGAAACGAGAGTAACATTATAAATTCCGCTAACTGTTAAATTTAATTCACAACTATTATTCGAAATAATATTGATAATTGACATTTTTATTACGATTAAAAATATGGTAAAGCGTTATTTTCCAGTGATAAATAAAACTAGAATAAGATTACCTCAAGAATTCATAAATTCAACGAATAAGAAATTCATTCATGTTATAAATTTTAGTGTTTTCAGAAAATATGAGTCGATGTCATATTCATCAACAGGTTATATTTCACTTCATTCAAATTTAGTTCAATCAAACCCATATAATGACCATTTCATAAGATTTTCAGATGGTATTAAAAATGTAATTGATAGATTAAAATATGAACAGATTGACAATATCGAATTTTTGGAATTTTGGTTTAAATATCCTGATGGAAAAAAGATTGAAGTTAAAGATAAAGCTGATACTATAACAAAAACAATTACAATGACCGATCCAGATAGTGGGGAACAAAAAGAAATAAAACAAACGATAGAAACCGGTGAAAGGTCAATTATTATTGATTATGATTCAAAGGATTATTATTCGATAATGTTAATGCTTGAATATTAAATAGCCTTAACAAAGAATTTTTCAAGTGATATTTTATATTCATCAACTATTTTATTATAAATATCATTATATGTTAAATGAAGTTCGGTTGTTGTTCCGTTCTTTGATATCTTAATTGTGCTAATATCCTTTATAGGATTTATTTTTGCAACTGTTCCGCAGCATGAAACCTCATCATCTATGAAAAATTGAATCTTAACGTCTGAATCTTGAACATCACAAAGAATGGCGATAATGTGAATTAATGATTCATAAGGTAAAATAATTAAACCGGATTGGTCAATTAAATTTATTATTGAATCATAATTATTAATTATTATATCACGGTAAATTTTCATTAATTCAGAATTAATGTCTATTTTATATGGCGCATTGCGACTGGAATCGTAGATTCCTGGGTTCTCGATGTTTGATGAAAGAGGCGGGGGGTATGTTGGATATGTGGGAATTTCAACAGGTTCTTTACCAGGTTCAGATAAAATGATTGGGTCTCCATCTTCTTTATTTTGCTCCCCCTCCTTTTTCGGTAAGTCACGAGTTAATAAATTTGGTTGAGTTGCTGACCTTGTTAATTCGGGGCTAACATTAACTTTAACATTTTGAATAATTCGTGATTTATCATCATTTACGTTATAACCAACCGTAATCTCTGCTTTTGCGTTTGTGTTCTTTTGACTTGTGAAACGTCTTCTCATTTATAATTGAAT